TACTCTCTCTCTCTCTCTCTCTCTCTCTCTCTCTCTCTCTCTCTCTCTCTCTCTCTCTCTCACTCCGCATCGGAACTCGAAACACCGACTTTCACGTTCTAAATTCCATTATCTTTGCTGCACGCTTTTTACGTCCACGTGCCTCGAAACAATGCCGTTTAATCAGCAGTTAGATCAACCACGGCGAAGCGATCTGACGGATCGATACTCGAGCGAGCGCTCCGTTGAAATTTCCTCGTGTAATTAAGAGAAAAATTATAAGTCTTCCATCGAGCGAGCTTACCAAAATGCATATCCACCAGGCCGAGGAGGAAGAGTGGCGCACCGTTGTATCTCAGTGAAGATGTCTGTCGACATGTATCACGCGTATCCACAAGTGGAGGGATCTCACCGAAGAGACCGAGGAACTGAAGAGGCGAGCACTCACGGCACTTGCGGCACTACGACGAGCACTCGCGAGCCTCGGCTACGAAGCGCGTCATTCTTTTCTTTTTTTTCCTTCTTTCCTTCTCTCTTTTTTCCTCACAGCCAATACAGACCGACGGCGAGACGACGAGACGAATCGAGACGCGTCGTTTCTTTCAAACGCCTCGGATCCCCGGTGCCCCGCTTCCTCGCGGCGGTTTCGTCGCACTCGTGCTCGTCACAACGCATGAATGACTCCTTCGCCACGCCGCGCCGCGCGGGGTCACGCCAGGGTTTCGTTCGCGGCAGCGGCGGCGGTGGCGGCGGTGGCAGCGGCGGAGAAACCACGTCGAATGGACCGCGCGAAGAAGTTCGAGCTCCGAGCACTGCCGTGGTATGTCTCGGTTAGACGGGATGGACGGACGGATGGAAAAACGAGTAGGAGGCGAAGGAAGAGGGGAGAGAAAGAGAAGGAGAGGCAGAGGGGGAGAGAAAGAGAGAGAAAAGCCAAGCGGCGGCTGGTTAGACCCGTAGGAAGAAAAGACTCAAGGAAGAAGAGACTCGTCTGGCTGACCCACGTTACTGCAGCGATTACGACCGTGAATTCTTTCCCGGCAAGAAGAACCCCCGCTGCTTTTTGAAAACGGAGGGAACGCTGGCGGTTAAATGCCGATGATGAGAGGCCGAAAAACTGAACCACGCGTTGCACCGAACCACGCGAGGGGTGTCGCGATCACAAATCGAACACAAGGGACGCGCACCATTTGCGTTTAAATATAACGATATTTTGAGGGAAAAAAAGAAACGAAACGAAAGAACTAGACCAACTAGATAAAGAAGAGGGAGAGAGAAAGAGAGAGAG